TATATCGCCTTCTCGTCAGCTATGGAAACTCTTAAAGGCCGACTCAGCGCCTCACGACTAATATTGATGTGCTGACTAAAGGCCAAAGATACAAAGGACCGACTCGCACCCGAGTCAAATAATACCAAGGCAGATATAGAATTCACAAGAAAAGTACCTACGCATAACATAATATATGCATAATATTTCAACATTATGATAAATACACAAAAGAATACATACCAGCCACGACATCGGGCGCTGCGCGGACCTTTTCCGCGGTCAACTGAAATGCTCTCCCTCGTGCCCTCGGCGCCTCGGCCTTCACTGGCCCACTCCCGGTAGCTCTAATGGAGGCAGGGGCAGATCCCTGCGATGCTCCCTGAGCCGACCCCGCAACTGCAGACACTCCGCATTCCGGTGTCCGGTCTGGTTGCAGTGAAAACATACTACAAACGCCTTGGGGCAGTCCTTGGCCATATGCCCCTCCTTGCCACATTTGTAGCAAGATCCCGCTCTACACACTCCGTCATGACCCTTACCACACTTTCCACAAGTGCGGCCCTTCTAGCTCCCTGATTTGGGATCGGTGGGCTTGGCCCGCTTGGTTGCCGGCTGGAAATGTACCGGTCGCCGATCCCTCCCCTGAGACTCAGCCTCCTCCCTAGCCAGGGTCTCCAACTCAATCTCCCTCTTCCGGGCATTTGCCTGAAGCTCGGCAAATGTTCGGTATGTGGAGTTCGCCACGAACTCCCGAATGTCTCGTCTCAAAATACTCAAATATCGAATCATACGTGCCTGCTCAGTGGACACGTGCTCAGGGCAAAACATCGCCCTCTCGTGAAACATCCTGGTGATCACTTTAATAGACTTAGTACCTTGCTTGAGGGTCAGAAACTCCTGGGCCAACCGCTCCCGCTCCACCTGGGGAACATACTCATCTCGGAACATGGCAGTGAACCTCTCCCAGGTCACTGCCTCAAGCTCAGCAGGCGAAAAACGTGCTGTGACAAACTTCCACCAGTCCTTCGCTCCCAAGCGAAGCTGGTTCAGCGCGAACTGTACTCTGAGATGCTCAGGGGATGAGCAAGTGAAGAAACACCCCTCTATGTCAGAAATCCATCTCATGGCCGCCACCGGGTCCTGGGTCCCATCGAACTCCGGTGGTTTCATGTTGCTGAACTCCCGGAACAGCAACGCGTCACCACCCTGCGGCCTAGCAGCAACAACAGCTGCAGTGGCCGCCGCAACCGCAGCCTCAGAAAGAGCTACATAACGCTCGTTGAAGGTCTCGATCAGTGCGGTCTTAATAGACCCGAACAAATCTGGTATCTCTGCTCTGATGATCGCAGCCACCTCCTCATGAATGATCTGCTGAATCTCCTCATCACTAGCCCCGACACCCTCCGACATATGACGTGTCCTCACCATGATCAACCTCTAAAATACAACATACGATAAATTAGAATCCGCTCGAGCATACTCACACTCGACAATCCATCCCTCCTTGACTCTTGGTATTCCAAAGATTCTTATTTGGACCGCGCACCGCCCCGGTGCTTTCAGTAGTACGGGCCCAATACTACTGTCCACACCGTCTCAGTACACACCCCAAATCTTCCTCTTCGGATCCCAAATTCCAAGTACTCTATCACTCCCTAACAGATCTCTCATAAGCTCTTCACTGCTACCTATTCGCTCTCAAGCATCTCATAGCAGCTCACATCTCCCTAGGCTAAGGCATCACAAATCAGGGCACTCTAGTCCTAATAAGAATATATAGCCTACTCTAACAAGAGATTACACCATAACATATAATATAAGGGTATTTTGGGAAATCACCGTTCGGGCGCTGACTGATCGCACACACGTTTCTTCCTTGAAATTTTTTTTCAAGAAAATCTTTTACTCTTAGAAAAGTTAAGTTTTCTTTTGAAAATATTTTTTTTCCAAATCCTCAGTTTGAGTTCAAATACTCCCGAAGGTGTACCCGAATCCCTCAAACCAAGGCTCTGATACCAAATTATAACACCGTGAATTTCAAAACAAATTTTTCAAATTTTCGTAAAACATAATTCATTTAATATTCATAAAACAACCATATTAATTATCCAATTCAAGTCAATACAAAATCCCAAGATCACAAATGTATAAACTCCGTGTGTGTGTATGGATCAAGCCGGCGCCTTCCCGCGGTCGTCACTAGTACCTGAAACAATAACATCAAACACTGTAAGCACAAAGCTTAGTGAGTTCCCCAAAATACCACATATAACACATATTAGCCACTCGAGGCTATAACTCTGTGGGTCCGTGCACCCAAACTCTGTGAACCCTCAGGTTCTAACTCTGTAAACATGCACAACATAAATCACATAGAAATAATGCAGTACAACACATAACATACATAGCATACAAATACTTTATCACATAACTCTGGTTACCTACTCAAGGTAAAGCATAGTGAGAAGACTCACCTCGCGTATCTCGATAAGTCGTAAGTCCTGAAATCACTAGCGCTCGATCTCCCGAGCTATAGTCCTCCTAAATCACAATACCACTCTAATTAACACTTTCCCAACTAAGGTTGGCTACTTCTTGATAAGCCACAAAAGTCAACCCTGGTCAACGGTCAACGGTCAACTTTGACCAGACTCAACGAGTGCATATAGCGACTCGGTGAGTCTGAGCGTATACACTAATTTCCTTGAAATCCTCCCTTGACACGTCGAGTATTCCCCTAACACGACGAGTCCCTCCTGGCATGAGTTGTGGGGCCACCACGACTCAACTCGCCGAGTCTCAAGAACAACTCGGCGAGTCTAACTTGACTCAGTCCACCTGTCCACTCTGATTCCCCCCTGACTCACTGAGTCAACCTTTCCCAACTCGGCAAGACCACACGCTGCATGATCGGGCAATATTCATACTACTCGCCGAGTCTGTTCTTCGGACTCGGCGATTTCGTGCCATGTAATGAGTAAAACTTGATCATGAGGTTAGATCCGGTCCATTAACCCATAGATCCAGTCCCTCCAAGCTTATTTAGCACGTAAAGTCACTATCTTGATGCACATACAATCTCGATATGACCCTAAATGATGTTTTTGTCTCAATTTCAATATCTCAAGGCCATGAACTCAATTGCTATACATAAAGCTGGAAGAGGGAGGCTCTCTGGACCTCTATTGGTCCAGATCCAGAGTCTCAACACAAAAAGGGGACTATTTGGCATCAAATCATTCCATAAATGTCCATAAGAAACCCTAGATCTCCCTATACTCCACAAATCAGAAAATGGATCGAATTCATACCTCTAGATCGATGCTCTAAGCTTTAAATCCACTGAATAGTAGCCTCCTTTGCTTCCTCTTGCTTAGATCCTCCTCCTTCTTTGCTAGTACACACACACAAGGTCAATAAGGCTCCCTTTCTCTCTCAAAATGCTCCAGCTCTCAAGGGTTTCTCTCTAAGGGTTGGGTGAGCACAAATGACGGCCATAAGGCCCTTTAAAGAGGCCGCAAACCCCAGAAATTAGGGTTTCATCACACAGCGTGGACTCGCCGAGTCCGGACGCGAACCCGCACCCAAATCCGTGATCCTACTCGGCGAGTCTGGGCTCCGACTCGCCGAGTCCACTCACAATTTCCATAATTAAGTCCAAAATAAATACCTGAAAATTCCGGGCTGTTACAATTTTTTTTTGTGTGCGTCTGTTACTAAAGATTTGTTTACTGTTTAGAACTAGTAAAAAGGAAAAAAAAATATAGTTTTTATAGCATATGCCAAAACATTTATCATGATATCGCTATAATTTGGTACATTTTTAAAAATAAAATGTGGTAACAGAAACAATGAAACTAGGATGCCACATAGATAAATTTATGTTACTACTTTATATACATTTAACGCTGAATAAAATGAAATAGTGTTTCAAATTTACATCAGATGATCAGACTCATGTTTCGAGGTCAACCACACATAGCCACCTTTGTGATTAGTGGTCATCTTCTTGCTCTCATAAAATCCTTCTTAAAATACACATTTTGCGTATTTTCTGTTTCTATCAAATGCATTCCTCTATATCTTTAAAATATGTATTTTTTTTCTCTAATTGCTTACTTCATTACAATTTTGTATACTTTTTTCTGTATGTCCTTCCGTTATAAGTATCTTGTTAGAAATGTTTTTAAAAAGTTCTTCTTAAAACAATTAGGGGGGTGAATATTACAAGTGTTATTTGCTTTGGATTCAATCTAAGAATGGAATTAGGATGACTTTCTATTGCAGCATCAAAGTTGAGATTTCTTGATAAATAGCAAGTTCCTTAAGTGTAACCTAACATATTCTTATTCATTCCTTTATAAGTACCGGTTCATATCGCGTCTTCATTGCCCAAACATTAGTCCCTTTCCAACTTTTATATCCACCGTGTTGCTTTAAGGTACAAGTTTCAAATCAATACAACATGTAAGGCTTTTTCTATTTCATTTTTGAGTTTTTATTATATATGTCGAAATACAGAAAAACATAAAGAAGTAGGATTTAATCATGTTATATGCATTTTCAATTCTATTATTGTTCATTAGAACGGTGGTGTGATATTTAGTTGTGGATTTTAATATGGTTCACAAAGATTGAGTTGAAATCACCAAGTAAAAGGATATATGTTTTGTTGTGTATCCTGTATCCATGATATTTGATAAGCCGAAGGAAATTGATCATGAGGTAGCCTTTGATCATAAAATCTTGTTTGGAAAAAAACCAAGCTGATTAAGACGAGCATTTGTCTGCATGATTTATATGTCGTATTCAGATTTATTTGGATGTCGAAACCATGAACTTCACTTAATGTGCAAGTTGAGATCGAACCTTGATCTCATGGTTTCTACTTGATAAACTTAAGAGTGTAAGATATGTCTACACACGATTGACCAATGATTTTTCTTATGTGATGGCATAAAGATTCATGTTTCTAGCTGCATCTATTTGTGTAGCTAGACATTTCATCGATATCTACAATGGAGCAACTTGAGCACTTCAGTCACAATCATCCACTCAACCTTGTCCAACTACAGCCAAACCACAATGAAGAGGAAGAGGAAGAGGAAGAGGAAGATGTAGATGACCTTGTAGTTGAAGACCACCATGTTGGCCAATGCAACATGTGTGAGGAAGACATTTATTCATTTCATTTACGTTACTACACTTGCAAGAATTGCAACCACTCTTTACACAAATTTTGCGCAGAAATCCCCAAAACCCTACAAGACCACCCATTACATAATCCTAACCACAATCTTACCTTGTCCAAGGGATTTCCAGATCCAGATCTTTATTTTAGTTCAAATAAAGAATGGACTTGTGGTTTATGCAATCATAAGCGGAATAACTTCTTCAATTACCATTGTTCCATTTGTAAATTCAGTATGGACATAATTTGTGCTACCATGTCTCAACAAAAGATAAACCACCCAAACCACCATCACCAAGTGCAACGTAACCCAAAGAAATTGGTATCTATTTGCAATGCATGTGGTCGTGAACATGAAGGGACTTTCTACCACTGCACCACTTGTTATTGGTTTTGGATCCATCAGGATTGTGCTTTGTCTCCTACCAAATTACTTATTCAACAACCTACTAATCACACTCTCACTCATTCTCATCCACTTACCCTCACATATTCCTTTCCCAACATTGATCAAAAAGTTAAGTTCTATCCCAGATGTAGAATTTGTGATACAGGCTTCTACATTTACTTTTGGGTTTACAGGTGTGATAAATGTCGATATTATGTCCACATTCATTGTGCAACTTCAAAGTACGGTCAGTTTTTGCGCCCAGGTAATATATACATATACATATATATATATATATATATATATATATATATATATATATATATATATATATATATATACAATAAAAACCAAAAAATTGGTAAGAATCGTAAGGATTATTCTCCATTAATGATTTCGTCAAGGACACAAATGTTAAACTCATTTCCTTGGTTTTAACGTTTTTATTTTTTTTTTGTTTATTTTAATTATATATATATATATATATATATATATATATATATATATATATATATATATATATATATTTTAATACATACTTGAAGATAGTAGGGGTTTTTTCTTTATTTTTGTTTTTGTATTTTGATTTTTTTGCTTTTAAAAAAAAACTAAATATCGGTTTTAGTTTTGATGTTTAACCATTATAAAATTTTAAATAAGAATAATATTAAGAATCATAATATTTTCCGTTCATAATTTTTTTGAATCATATTATTTTTGGATCATAAAATTTTGAATCAAATTATTTTGAATCGTAACGATATTATGCATCATAAAGTTTTGGATCATAATATATTGAATTAAATAAAGTTTTTGTTCAATGCAACATTTAGATCATTATATTTTTTGAATCATTTAATTTTGAATCATATAAAATATAATAATAAAGGATTATTAAATAATTGAATCAAAATATTTTTAGATCATAACAAGTTAAAGATCATAAACATATCGAATCATAATATTTTTGAATCATAAATATTTTGAATAATCTCTATTTGATCATATTATGTTCAACATCTTTTTAAAAACTTTTAATTTTTTAAAAACAAGTTTGGTATGTAAAACACATTATGCTTATTTTGTTTAATATTTTTAACTAACAAAGTCCTTAGAATAGTGTGTAAAAGTATTTCTTAAATTTTTACTAAAATTATTGAAGAAATTTTTATACTGTGTAAAAGTATTTCACCACATTCATTTGAAACTCCCAAGACCTTTCATTTTTTTTTCTAATAATAATTATAAGTTGGTTAATAAGGTTAAATAAATATCAAAACTAAAGTGTAATCATATATAAACTAAATTTAAATATTAAAATATATCTTTCTTCTACTTATAAATTTATGTTTTTTAACTTTTAATATTTTATACTTGATTTATTAGTTTTAATATATTGATAGATATAAACCATCATCATTTTAAAGATACAAATTTGGAACAATTTATATAAAATATTTAGATTATTAATTTAAACATTATATTACAAGGCCAACTTAAATATAAATTTTAGTTTAACTTAAACAACCCAAAAAATATTTTGTAAATAGATAAAAATGATAAATTGTAGTGTCTCTCTAATAATGATTATAAGTAGTTAATAAGGTTAAATAAATATCAAATCTAAATTGTATGTATAAATAAACTACATTTCAATTTTTAAAATAATTTCTTTAATTTCTACTTATAAAGTTATGTCATTAACTTTTAACATATTATGCTTAATTTATTAGATTTAAAATATTGTTATATATAAACCATTATCAATTTAAAGTTATAACTTTTGAACTGCTTTGATAAAATACTTAAATTATTAATTTAAATATGATATTACAATGTCAACTTAAATATAAATTTCAGTTCCACCTACAAAACTAAAAAATATTTCGTAAATAGTTAAAAGTAATAAATTATAGTGATAAATGCAAAAACTAAATTGTAATCTCAATTTAATTAAAATATTTTCTAAATATATTTTTATAATCATTAAAACTTTTCAAATAAGTAAATTAAAATAATTTACAATAAGAATAGTTAAAAATAACTCTATATAAATGATTATATTGTTAACTTAAAAAAAAACAATTTTTGATGTTTTAAATAATTATAATGATAGAAACTAAAATATTAAGCAAATAAATTTTAAAAAATTAATTAACAATAACAACAACTATAAATAACAGTAAACCATATATTATATTTAATTTATTCATGTGTAACTCGTGGATAGAAGTCATTCAAACGATTAAGATTATAAATATATATATTATCATATAATTCAAAATAATCAGTATATTATATTAATTTAGTATACAAATCATTATAGCAAATTTAACATGTTATTGTTATATTTAGAAAAAAAAAACATATATTTATAAGGATTTCAACTATATATGTGTTTCTATGCAACGTACGAGCATTCACCTAGTTTATTAAATAAAAAAACTCATTTAACCTGTCGTCGACATGTGTAGTAGGAGGAGAATTTGTTTGATACGTCCGAGATTTCACGAAAATGGCAGTTTAGGCCAATTACTTTGCTACCCTTCAATTTTTACCGAATTACCATCTAGCTTTTATCACTTACACAAATGACCCTAATACTTATGATGGTTAATCAGTTTTTTCATATTAAATGTCAACGATCCAAATTTTTAAATAAACATATTGTCATTGCGGTTCCTACTAATTTTTGAGTTCCTACATGATTTATATATATATATATATATATATATATATATATATATATATATATATATATATATATATATATATATATGTATATAGAGAGAGAGAGAGAGACGAATGAGGACTCAAAAATTAATGAGGACGGCGAGGACAAATCTATACCATTTATTAATTAATTTTAATAGTTAGATTTATTAAGTTGAAAATAAACAATTCTAGAAAAACAAGGGTTTATTTACCTAATTATCATAAAAAAGAAGTGACCGATTTTTAAGTTGGGTGAGTAGAAAAGTAATCTACTTCTTCTAATAAATAAAACCTAAAAATAATACGTGTCAGCTTTTTAGAATGTCTTTTTGATATGTGATATTTTTCTATGATTCTTCTTCCTATTATTTTTTTTGGTATTAAATTAAATTGAATTCAAATTTTGAAAATACACAATCATATCCTAATAACATTATTATGTTTATTTTGCTTAACAAATTAATTCATAACTACTTACAATTGGTAATATCTTAGGTTTTTTTTGACATTTTTTATTTTTTTATCTATATGAAAATTTTAAATATATTGATTGTGGTTTCCACAAATTATAACCTAGTAGAATATGAGGTATTCTCATCAAAACATGCCACATGTGCCTAATTCTCCCTACATGTGACATGTATCGCCACTCGGGGAGTGGGTATTTTCATTTTTCAACAATTTTTTTTTTGTCAATAATTTTTTTTCTGTAAAAATAAAAATGTGAAAAAACCAAAATTATTAAAATTTAATTTCTACAAAATAAACACAATAATGAAAATCTGATTTTTTTTTTTATTTTTCATACAAAAAGACTTGGAAATTTTCTTAAAAAAAAAAAAGAATTAAATAATATTTCTACTTATTATAGTACCGACTTTGTAAAACGAATTTAAAAAAATAAGTTTTTAAAAGTATTTATATTTTGATTTTAAGAAATATTTGTTTTTATAAAATATAACATAATTTATTTTTTATTCAAGTTCAAAAATATAAATGATAGAGTTCATCATAATACTATTTTTATAAATGTGTAACTATTTTTTTCCAAAAATACTATTGTTAAAGATACAAAGATACAAACGTTTTATTTAAGTGTTTCTAACTTTTTATAAAGAATATGGCGTTATATTTTTTATTATTCAAATTAGAAATCATTTTAAAGGTTTAATATATTTTTTATTTTATGAACTTGTTGAAATGAAATTTTAAAAAATAAGGTTGTTTAGATACCAAACTTAATTTTAAAAAATTATATATATATATATATATATATATATATATATATATATATATATATATATATATATATATATATATATATATATTCTTTTTTGATGTTCTCAAAGATTTGTTGGTCTTAGATAAAATTTCAGTATTTGTTTTATTTATCAGGTCGTGGAAAGATTTTTAAAAATTTCAAAGATGATGACCATCCTAATCTTCTCCGTTGTCCATTTCCTGATGAAAGTTAGAATCTTCTCAAGCACCATTTTATTAATAATGAGAAGGACTTTGTAGTACTTGATGAAAACCATGGTGAACCGCTCAAACATCTTACTCATAATCACCCACTGGTTCTTGTAGACAAGCAAACATCATTCAATAAGAATTCGATTTTACTTCACAACCCCTTGAAGAAAATTCAACTATTATGTGATGGATGTGTGAAACCAATCACAGAAATACCATTTTACAAGTGTTTCCAAGATGTTCGTCTAGATTCTGGGTTTGTTCTTCATGAGTGGTGTGCTAGGCTACCCCTTAAAATAGAAGACTACCCTGGTCATCCATACCATACACTTTCTCTCATGCCAGGCATTACTACTAAAATGTTTCGTGTTTTTGAGTGTAAAATTTGCATGTTACCTTCCAATGGTTTTTCGTATGGATGCAATACTTATGATTATTCTGTAGATGTCAATTGTGCATTCCTACCCAAAGAAATCACACATGAAGCTCACCCTGACCATCTTCTCTCAAGAATAGATGCTTCATCCAGTCTATCAGAAGCACCATGCAATGCATGTGGTTGTTACATAACATATTGCATCGCATGCCGTTGCCATTATTGCAATTTTTCCTTGGATACAGAGTGTGTTTTTATGTTGCCTGGATTGATTAGGCACAAGTACGATAAGCATCCATTGACCCTAAGATACAATCCAGTCGAGAACCATCCTGGCGACTACTTTTATGAAATTTGTGAGGAAGAATTTAACCCAGAATCTTGGTTCTATCATTGTGGCACTTGTGTCCAGTCTATGCATACTGCATGTGCACCCTTAATCATTCAATGTGAGCAAGCTGTATATACCCACTATAAGAGATCTATTTTCTATTTCGCTAATGTCAAGTTTGGAGGGACGTTTCGGATAAAAGATCACTGACATATTCTAACATTTACTCAAGGGATCAACCGCCATGGTCTATGCAAGCACTATGATGGAAAATTGCAGTATATGATGATCTTTGATTGCTTGAAATGCACGTACGCAGTTCATTATGAGTGTCGTCAACCTGCCAATGGACGAAACATGTTAATCGCAAAACTATTTTCATGTCACAAAATGAAGAAGCAACAACCTACATTATCAAAACGTATTAAAAACAAGAACCAATCATTGTTGACTTAATCCAGATATTTGAGCTTTTTTATTTAATTATTATTGCAAAAAGTTTTTGTTTCAGTAGAGTTTTGAGTAAGTTATATGCCATGTTGGCTATATATAGTACCGAGTCAGTTTCCTTATTTCCTGCATTTGTTTTAGTTTAAAATGGCAAAGTGTACGTTGATGGTATCGTCCCCTCTTGTTCTTGTTTTACTGTGATGGTGAATAAAGGTGGTGCCTTTTTTTTGCATCCTTCCGTACCCTGTTTTAATTCATAAAACCTGCATATATACCAATTTTGCCTCCCCTGTAATACCAACATATGCATATAATGCTCTCCATTGATGTAATAATTAAAAAAAAAAGTCGTTTGGTTTGGGCTTGGCGTATGAGTTTGCCTTTGATCAAAAAATCTTGTTTGGAAAAAAACAAGCTAATTAAGACGAGCATTTATCTGCATGATTTATATATTGTATTCAAATTTATTTGGATGTTGAAACCATGAACTTCACTTAATGTGCAAGTTGAGATCGAACGTTGGTCTCATGGTTTTTACTTGATAAACCTAAGAGTGTAAGATATGTCTACACACGATTGACCAATGATTTTTCTTATGTGATGGCATAAAGATTCATGTTTCTAGCTGCATCTATTTGTGTAGCTAGACATTTCATCGATATCTGCAATGGAGCAACTTGAGCACTTCAGTCACAATCATCCACTCAACCTTGTCCAACTACAACCAAACCACAATGAAGAGGAAGATGTAGATGACTTTGTGGTTGAAGACCACCATGTTGGCCAATGCAACATGTGTGAGGAAGACATATATTCATTTCATTTGCGTTACTACACTTGCAAGAATTACAACTACTCTTTACACAAATTTTGTGCAGAAATCCCCAAAACCCTACAAGACCACCCATTACATAATCCTAACCACAATCTTACCTTGTCCAAGGGATTTCAAGATCCAGATCTTTATTTTAGTTCAGATAAAGAATGGACCTGTGGTTTATGAAATCATAAGCGGAAGAACTTCTTTAATTACCATTGTTCCATTTGCAAATTCAATATGGACATAATTTGTGCTACCATGTCTCAACAAAAGATAGCCCACCCAAGCCACCATCACCAACTGCAACGTAACCCAAAGAAATTCACATCTAGTTGCAATGCTTGTGGTCGCAAACATGAAGGGACTTTCTACCACTGCACCACTTGTTATTGGTTTTGGATCCATCAGAATTGTGCTCTCTCTCCTACCAAATTACTTATCCAACAACCTACTAATCACACTTTCACTCATTCTCATCCACTTACCCTCACATATTCCTTTCCCAACATTGATTAAAAAGTTAAGTTTTATCCCAGATGTAGAATTTGTGATACACGCTTCTATATTTACTTTTGGGTTTACAGGTGTGATAGATGTCGATACTATGTCCACATTCACTGTGTAGCTTCAAAGTACGACAAGTTTTTGCGCCCAGGTAATATACATATATATATATATATATATATATGTATATTCTTTTTTGATGTTCTCAAAGATTTATTGGTCTTAGATAAAATTTCAGTATTTGCTTTATTTATCAGGTCGTGGAAAGATTTGTAAAAATTTCAAAGATGATGACCATCCTAATCTTCTCTGTTGTCCATTTCCTGATGAAAGTTACAATCTTCTCAAGCACCATTTTATCAATAATGATAAGGACTTTGTAGCACTTGATGAAAACCATGGTGAACCGCTCAAACATCTTACTCATAATCACCCACTGGTTCTTGTAGACAAGAAAACATCACTCAATAAGAATTCGATTTTAGTTCACAACCCCTTGAAGAAAATTCAACTATTATGTGATGGATGTGTGAAACCAATCACAGAAATACCATTTTACAAGTGTTTAAAAGATGTTCGTCTAGATTTTGGGTTTGTTCTTCATGAGTGGTGTGCTAGGCTACCCCCTAAAATAGAAGACCACCCCGGGCATCCAAACCATACACTTTTTCTCATGCCAAACATTACTAATAAAATGTTTCGTATTTTTGGGTGTAAAATTTGCATGTTACCTTCCAATGGTTATTCGTATGGATGTAGGACTTGTGATTATTCTGTAGATGTCAATTGTACATTCCTACCCTAAGAAATCACGCATGAAGCTCACCCTGACCATCTTCTCTCAAGAATAGATGCTTCATCCAGTCTATCGGAAACACCATGCGATGCATGTGGTAATTACCTAATAAATTGCATTGCATTCTTTTGCCCTTCATGCGATTTCTACTTGGATACAGAGTGTGCTTTTATGCTGCCTGGGTTGATTTGGCACAAGTACGATAAGCATCCATTGACCCTAAGATACAATCCAGTCGAGAACCATCCTGGCGACTAGTTTTGTGAAATTTGTGAGGAAGAATTTAACCCAGAATCTTGGTTCTATCATTGTAGCACTTGTGTCCAGTCTATGCATATTGCTTGTGCACCCTTAATCATTCAGTGTAGTAGGCTGTATATACCCACTATAAGAGATCTATTTTCTATTTCGCTAATGCCAAGTTTGGAGGGACGTTTCGGTTAATACAACACCGACATCTTCTAACATTTACTCAAGGGATCAAGTCCCATGGTAATTGCTATTACTGTCGTGAAAAATTGCAGTATAGGGTGATCTTTAATTGCTTGAAATGCAAGTACACAGTTCATAATGAGTGTCATCAACCTGCCAATATACTAAGAGCGCTAGTATTCCCACACCTTGCATGGTAGAGAATGAAAAACCAATTATAAAAAAAAATTAAAAACAAGAACCAATCATTGTTGAGTTAAAATGGCAAAGTGTACGTTGATGGTATCGTCTCATCTCGTTTTACTGTGAAAGTGAATAAAGGTGCAGCCTTTTTTTTTTTTGCGTCCTTCTGTCCCCTGTTTTAATTCATAAAACCTGCATATATACCAGTTTTAGCCTCCCCTGTAATACCAACATATGCATATAATGCTCTCCCTTGATGTAAAGATTAAAAAAAAAGTCGTTTGGTTTGGGCTTGGTGTATGTAGCCATACTCTTTACTTTTGTTATTTATATCGTCAATCATTTTTAACTAGCTTCGGATTTATGATTTGGTGTGAATCATTTAAAATCATGAAGTATTTTATATTATCTTGTAATAATCTTTAATTCTAGTTGAAGAACTCAATTATTCATGATGGGATGGTGATCACAGGAATAAATATATGAAATGTCCTTTTCCAGAAGAGGGGATGAAAATCTATAATATACAAAACTTATGTCTAAAACGATATACAACAGTTCAAATTGAAGACAAGAAACCCTATTACATTCAATCTAATCAACTCAAAGATCAAACATCAACCCAATAGTTCCAGAAATTAAAGCTCAAACATCAACTTAATTAACGGTTCCAATTTTATTTTATTTTTAGATATCACAGCTCACTACTAGAAACATGGGTTTTAGAGACAGACGTGTCCGTCACTAAAGAGCGTTGCGACGGATACACGACAGATTTACGCTATAGCCAATTAAAGTGTGGTTAATGACTTAGTGAGAGATTTAGCGACGGAGCAGGTTTTTTTTTCTTGCGACGGCCATAGCGATGATTGATCACTTACTATGGTTATTTAGGACACTAGCGACATAACTTAATACTATATTTCGTCACTAATCACTTGCAAACCTCAAGTTTTTTTTGTCGGTAATCCCTCACAAATTTAAAATGTGATTTTTTTTCTGTGGCTAATCCCTCGCAAATTTAGGATGTGATTTTTTTTTCTTTCCCTAGCTAATCCCTCGCAAATACATAATATCATATTTTATTTTTCGTTATTAATGTAAAACAAATATATCAAAAACATCAAATAATAATAAAATCTCAAACCAAACATTAACATTTAAACACCAAACACATCCAATAATTATACAATCCACACATTAACATTAAAATACCTAAAGCTTCTGTCAAAGTTTAACATTGATTAATAGTTGATTTCAAAGTATAATGTACCATAATTTTGAATTTTGTCTCATATTTTGGATTTCCACATACATCTTCTCCATTTCATGATATCTTACGTCCGAAAGAAGGATTGGGATGAAACTGAATTCCAATTCCTGTTTAGTCCCATGGAAAAAGGACCAAGTGCTACTTACTTTGATGCCTTCCTTCTTTTTTCTAGATTAGGGATCTTTGTTGGCAGCAAAGCTTTTATGTTGATGAAAAAGGATTTTGGTGTTTATTCATTTTAAACCAAATGCGGGATAGGAATGGAATTGAACTCCAATTCTGACCAAAAAGTAAATGAGGAAGGAAATATTGTGTTTGTCTATTGGTGTTCAGATCTGAATTTTTCAACATTTATGTTGAATCTTACAAATCATCTACCACACCAAAATTAACAACACAGTTAGCATTTATAAAAGAGATGTAATAATTTTAATTAGGAAGGAAATTACAAAACTAACATTCGTGGTCTCTAGGTCTTGCCATGTGCCTTTCTCTAATTGCAAACAACCACCTTTATCAGCACAACTTTATACCACCAAAAACTATGAAAGTTGATTCTTCACAAATAGGAACAAAAATGCACACACAAATAACTCATTTTTATTCAAATTATCTTCTTTCATTTCAAAGTCAACTTGTAACACTCTAAATTTTCAAATTAAAATTTCATTTTTAATTCCACACAAAACATAGTTTAACATCTCTCATGCCTAATTTGTTAATGTTTCAAAACACAAAACATAAAAATTGTT